CATCAATTAATAAATAAATGTGAAAATCGTAATTTTCAACACAAATAATAGTCTCGCTACCTTAAAAGCTTATAAGCCTAAAATGAAGGGCGTAATACTTGGAAATCAATTAAACTTTGGATTCCTGACAGGTATCATCACTTCTGGTTTCAATTCTAAAAAAATATTAATTTCATCACAAAGAGTACATACTGGATTAGGGCATTCTCGTTCTAAACAAGATCTCGGCGCCACTTGCATATAAGTACCCAAGATTCACCATTACTGGACAAATTGCATTTAATCACGAACCAAATTTGCCAGCTTGAACCTGCAAAGGCATTATTGCCAAAAGCATTACCATATTTATACCGTAAATTATTCTGATTGTGTCGAATAAACACATTGGAGGTAGTAATATGTCTACGAGAATTTTTGAAATGTACATACAGAAATTCAAGATGCCACACATTGATATTGAAAGGTTGTCGTGAACGATATGTATAGATTGTTAATCAGTGACCGGTAATTACCATAACGTCTGCTGTTTGAAAACAATAAAATCAAATAATGTCACAAGTAAGGCGACAACATATAGACAGTCCTAAAATTAAGATTTGTGATTTGAATATTTGAGATTTGGCCAATTCCTAACTTAACAGTAAATTCGAGAAATGCATGCCTTGGAATTGTGTTTGGGTTTTAGGTTGATATACTGTTTACCTGTCACTTTTATTGCTCCTAAAATGGGTCGATAACATGGAATCCTCTCGATCACTAAATTTATATAAAGACGATTCACTCACCAACATAACTGCATTAACAAGGCATCATGTAGTACGATTACTACGAACAAGTTATAACCGACGAAGAGTAATCACGTGTTCATGTCGGTCTTTCGATGAGGTTGCTTCCACGTTAACACATTTGCAAAAATGTTTGTATTAACATTCATTGATAATTTATTTTCTCGTGTGAAGATGATTAAAATGACGTTAACGGATTTAAGTTTCTGGTAAAAATAGCATACTTTACTGGTAGGATTGTGAGAGAATATAAAGTCCAGAGGCATTATGAGGAATAGATCTTGATAATTGGTATGAAATCTGCTTATTTATAAATAATATGATGTTCATCGTAACATATTAAACCCAGGGTGTATAACTACGATATATCATTGTTGTTTATGATCATTTGTTTGAAGGGCGGTGGTCGTCGCGCTGCGTCCTGCTCGATATGGGACTCATATACAACGCATGGTTTGCTTAGATGAAATTTTAACACTTGCTGCGCATCGATCAAGCTCTTTGCTATTGACAGATTTTATATTGCCCATCCCAATACCATAAGAGCAGTGCAGATAAGTGCACGAGGCAACGTTTGGTACTAGATAGTCAAGTTCAGGTTCAGGTCAAAGTTGTTCATCTAATCTCTGGGTGTATTTACATGGACTTTTGAGCTGAAAAGAACTACAAATAGAGTAGAATATGTCAACACCACTGTCACATTTGCAAGTTCATGCGAAGGTTGTTGATGCACAATTGACAACTGCGCATTTCACTGAGGATCCGTAAAATTTCTTCTTTTATTAGCACTGCTCATCTATTGAAAGGTAAGTAATATTCTGGTATGCCAAGTTTTCTTGGGAATGTTTAATTATTTATGAAATGACGTTTTAATTTACCTGTCAATAAAACAATTTTTACCCTTGAAGTTTAGCTTAGTCAGACAAGCGCCAACAGGTATGTGATCTATTATATAATAGTTTAATTCATAACTACGCCATTTATTCAATACAAATGTATTAATAACTAACTTGCCATTGTTGATATATGGGTTGCTGAATTAAGGGATTTACCATTGTTGTAGTGGGGGGTATGTGATAGTGGGACTCAAGAGACGATATTCATTAAATTATTTGAAGAATTATCGTTTAGATTACTTTTAAATTATAAACACAATATTAAAATGCCGTCTGACTTATAGTGATAATTCCTCAATTAAATTTGGGGTGGGTAAGTTTGTTTGCATTGTCACTCAAGGCCATTCAATATACTCTATTAAATAATATTAGGCCGTATTTCACATGACAAAGACAATGATTGAATTAACATTTCACTATAAACTAAATTCATCAGTCTAACTACTTGTTTATCGAGAACGTTTCCATGCTACCTTTATATACGAGACATATATGGCTACATTTTGATTTGATATGCCTAAAATAATATGCACATCTATCAGAATATGCATGTAAATTACTAACTGAATCGTTTCTATGTTGGAAGTATAGTCAAGATCACAGATGGGTAAATTTTACATTAAATGTGAAATGTGCCACATGATATCAACTGCAGTGCATCTTTGGATGTAAAACCAGCCAATTATACATTCAATTTGTTATGTTGCAAAATCAGCAGAATGAAATGGTGTTCGAAATTCGATGCCTGGCCATGGCTTACACTAATGCATATTATATTAATTATGCAACAAATGTTAATCTTGTATACTTTGACATGTATAGTCTTGACAGTTTATTTTAACCTGACATGAAGCACAGCCCATATGCATGTAGAAAGCTTTTTTTGCTTCTCATCAAAAAGATGTTATACAGCATAGTGCATAAACCTGTGGTGTCCTTAATTCTACTGTAAAATATAGGATCCATTATACGCCGACTCCTCAAACACGGTAAATGTTACCTTGCGATCTGAACTATTTATTTTTTACACGTAATGGTATTAACAATTCAACAACTATTTCGTTTCCCTGAAATATATACAATGATTCCATAATTATTTTAATAACTTAAACCTAATACATTGTAATGACTGTATCATTGAAAACCAAGTAACCGCCATCTTGGGTTTGTAATACGATTAACATCAGCACAGGTATATCTTCGCAAAAAATGAATTTGTTGAACCATACAACCTAGAAAAGTATCATCATTATATCGTATTTAGAGAACCTGTCTTGGCTGAAAATAAATTGCAGCAGTCATCTTGGCAAAGATCTTGAATATCTAAATAACCAGAACGGTGTCACGTGGCTTCACTCAGACTCCCAACAGTCACTAGATACACATGTGAGATATACAATCTATCAACAAACATGAGATGGGCCATATCTGTTGGCTATGTAGTTTGTAGCTTAACATTACTTTATTTTGTTGTTTCCAGGTTTCGATCAGCAACATGATCACTTATGTCCTGAACCATGTCTTTGATATGTTTAACACTCCAACTCATGTTATTTTACTGTTGTTGGTGTTTATCATAACATATGGATTGTTCAGTTTACGCAAACCATCTGGATTTCCACCTGGACCAATTGGATATCCGTTTATTGGCAATATGATTGGTGAGTATGAAGTTATTAGGCTAAAAAACAATGTTATTAGTCCCATACCTGTCATATCATACTGATTCTACTAGCCTTGACCTTGTGATTCAAAACACACACACGCATACATGCGAACCAATCGTTTTCATTATCGGAATCCACTTCACACGACGTTCGGCGATATGAACTTCTTTGAAAACGTACAAATTAACTTATTTTGTCGACGTATATTTTTTAGAATTGTATCTATATTTATCAGTTTACATTCCAAATAATTCCAGAATGATGATGCAAACAAAATCACATTTTATAAATCCACATCACAGTTTCTGACATCACATACGCGCGTGTTTTAAAAACTAACAACAATATTTACAAATACGAATGTTTTGTCGTGAATGTCAACAGTAAGTTCATCAGTGTACTAGTACTTGAAAGTGCACAAGAAATAAAATGAATGAAAGCTGTGATCGAAATAAAAACACTCAATGAATGCAAAAGACAAAATACTCTAAATACTTAACATAACATAAATATATACAATAATATTATTTGTGGTGAATTCAAGCGATAAAATAATTACATCCCCTCCAATACCACGCGATATAATTTACTAGTAGTAGAATTCACGTCTGTTTTAGTTTAAAATAATGATGTTTAAACCCTCTCGAAGGGGTAGGATATTATCAGCACCGTCTACGAGTTTCAAAGTAGGCGCGATTAGCTCTACGTTCAACAAGAGTATATGTATGTATAATATTATGGGCTGTTACATAGCCTAGAAGTGTTAAATAATACAGCTCCAATAAAAAAATTCGAAATGTATGGTCAGCCGAAACATTGCCTACGAGTCAGCGCCACTGTGCGCATTGTGCAATGGCCACCGTATTTACGCCTCTTAAAAGATTAAGCGATCCGCCGTATCTTTTTATCGGTCACAAATTACGTCTACGTAACTTATCAGAGCTGCTCCTTCCGCCAGTTATCTTTTGATTATGTTGGGCCAAGTGAAAGTTGAGTTAGGCCTGGTTCGTTCAGAACCAAACAGAATAGCTTACGCAATCCTTTGAGAATCAATATATTTGAGAATCTATTTTAAATCCTAGACGGTGATACCTCTAAGATATTGATGCCACAGCCTGACATTCTTAATTCGTTAATTTTGTTTTTGTCTTAACATTTTTAGCTTAGTCGTTACCTGCGCACGCGCGAGAATTGAGTTTCAAGCGATGATAACACACGCTAAAAACGCAAAGGCTCATGGTTAGACGCTTGTATGTGAACATTTACACACTATGGCCAACTGACGCATGCGCAAGTGACGACTACCCCGCTTTAAGTAAATGAATTTTGCTGTCTTGCGTATGTCCCTTTTTTAAATTCTGTACATGACCCGATGCATATGTTAGGGCGACAGAGAAGGAGAGAAAGAACCAAAATTCTATGAACAAGCAAGCTGAAGAAGACAAGTAAGTAGGCAGCCAATGAAATTGCCAATCACCGGTCGAACAACATTTAATTTCGCGATCATGTTTGCTGAAATTTGTTCAGTTTCCGTACAGAGATTACAAACGATATCGATTACTGGGATGCCATGAGTTGAATGAAACTTAATTTGAAGCTTTGAATCAATCAGTAGATAGTTCATAAAGTCGTTTTCCTTTCTCACTTTGCGATACTAATTATGAAAAGCATCTCAAACTCGTAATAATTGTTCATCTTAATGTATGTCGCAGATCCCGTAGATATATTGTACGTTGAATCGTGGAGAGCCTGGTGATTACAGTTAAGTTATAAAGTAAACCTCCTATCGACTTCCCGCGTAAACATCTTATACTATTGTCACTTAATCAACGTCAACCAAACAATGTTTCAATATTCAACGATCAACGATGTCGCACAGTCACTCTTTATCACTGGCGCCATACATCATTATATTCATGTACCATCACACACCTCTCCCGATCGGTTAATCACAGCCACGTGATGAGTCGTTCATTTTCTACTAAAACAAGGTTTGTGTATTATACAACGTCAAAGCTCAGGATGAAGGAAAATTGTATTATTAAAAAGGATATTATCATTTGCCTACCTTCTCCTGACATCTATGCCTATTCACGTAATGGAATGCTCTGCTCATCAATGTCCTTCATCAATAATAATGTTTACTTGGTAACTCTATTCCAATGTACACATAACAATGACAATAACACTAGTACTTCCCAAGCAAACATTATGACAGAGACTTCCAAACTCATTCTATGCAATGAAATCTTCAAGTCGTTTTCAATTATGTGTATTAGAAGTGGATAATGAACCTCTAGTAACTCTTGCGAAATATGGTAAGAAATATGGAGATATTTTTACAATCAAGATTGGCGGTCAGCCTGTGATTGTACTCAACACAATAGACGTCATTAAAGAAGCATTGGTGAAGAAACAGAACGATTTTGCTGGACGTCCATACTACTATTCATGTAAGCATATTTATATATATTACCAGTCATAGTTATTGTCCGTAGAGACGATATTGTCATGCGGAGATGAAACAAAAGACGTGTATGTTAAATTTATTTAAATGTCTTATAAAATTATCCCAGTGTCAGGTTTAATGGCAGAAGAGTGTGAAGACATAACATTTGGTAACTTCACTGCTAAGTGGAAGCTGCAACGAAAAATAGGACATCAAGCCATTAGGTAGGTTTAATAAACTGGTTCCCTATTTATTGCATTAAATCTTTCTCACCTGTATACACGTCTAGACCTAATTACGCCGCCAATAGACCAGTTACAGATGTACGTATTCAGAATATAGTTGCACGTATTCAACAGTAATAAAGAGTCTGCCTGAAGCTGAAGCCAACTGGTGTATATTTTTATTGACCAGATAATGTGGTCTGCATAAGAGGTTATACGCAACGGATGTGAGCAAATAAATAATTTATCGCTACCTTTAACGGATCAGATCCTGATAGCAATGGTCATAGGGAATGTTTGCACTGTCCGACCCGAGTAGATTAATGATTCACAGCTAAAACATCATCATATACGCCAATCCACGATTGTAAAATTAATCAGTTCTAATCAAAGTTTTTCTGATTTTTAGAAACTATGCAAGTGGAGACAAACTAGAATCACTGATACGGTATAACGCCTTTCCCAGTTTCCAGAGAGCTGTCGCAAGAGAAAATGGAAAACCATTTCGTCCTCATTCACTAATTTATCTGCTTGTGGGGAACATCATTCTTTCCATGTGTTTGGGGAAGAAGTAAGTCAATGTTACCCTTTCTACTACCAATGAATAATCTCTTTATTTTGGTGTAATATATTATAATCATCATTAAACATGTCAACCATGTCATACACAATCTTCTGAATCTTCAAAAGTTGCCATTGATACAATTCTGCTTCGTGTGAGAATCATTCGATCATATTGAAATCAATAATCTCACTGTTGTAACATAAGCAGTCAAATAAATACGAGGCTGACCCAAATAGGGGGCGGTCCGCTCAATTGGCACTTAATTGATATGTTATAATTGCTATAAAATTTGCACTCAGTGGATATGTTATAATTGCTATTTCATATGTTTGATAACAGATTCGAAAATGACGATCCTGAATTTTTAAAGATTCTCGAAGTTCTGAATAACCTGGATCAAGCTATTGGGAATGGACTCGTCGCTGACTTTGTTCCAATATTTCGTTACATACCTACGCCTGGTGTCAACAGATTAAAGAAAGTTCTGAAAGAGTGGTTCAACATAATTCAACATCAGGTCAATGAAAGTAAAGGCAAATTGGAATCAGGTAAGAAAACCTAATTAAAATATTTACTCAAAAGAGTCAGTAACTTATGAGGTAAAGTCCAAGTCATCATTTATGTCCAGTTAAGAACGTCACATATTTAATCTGATATTAGATATTGTGAAAACGGGTTTCATGATATGACAACTCGATTTTAAGAGATAATACACTAATATAAATTCCCGTATCGTATGATGAAGCTATAAATGACTGATTCTACATTTACGCTGAAAGAATAATACACATCTAGTTGCAAATTAATTCGAGTCCTGTTGAATGAAACACCAACTTGAGAATATTAGGAATGCACTACTACCGTTTTACATGTTAGAAGTAAATTGATTAATTAGAAAAGTTGTAATGATAACAGAAGGGTGGGGACCTATATTTTCCGTTCAATTGAAAAATTTGGCGTTTTATTTAATCAATTTGCAAATGTTGCCAGACACGTATCGCGTCGCTGTATTGCCAAGGAGGGCAGCATGCAGACAAAAATTCAAGAAGGTCGCAAAATATCTACACTCTGACCAAAACTTTGCATCGAGAGTGTTATTGCCTGGACGACTGACAGAGGGTTTTCGGTGTATTGAAAGTTGCACAAAACGACACAGTATTGATTTCTTGCTAATTGTTTGAAGAAAACAAAAACCTGATAGGCTTCAGCTGGGGCACATCACTCCGGTATTGCTGACGTTGTATTTAGTATGTGCTATACGGCTATGATGGCGGCTAATTTGCATAAATCATTGCATGGACACGATAGACGGGGCTATTTCACTGGTAGTATGGGGGTAGACAAGACAATAGTACTGGGAATGACATACACATACACCAAAATATTGAGTTAAAGCTCCTGGCTTTAATACCTCTCGAAATAATTACAAAAAATAAAGCACTGAAAAATACAATGAATAAAGTCACTAAAATAGGGGATTGCTTAGGAAAGTGTGCATTGGTGATAACTCACGGTTCCAGGATGTAGAAATGAACGACAGTCAATAGCTTCTGCAACACAACAACGAAGAAATACAGCAGTCTTGCTTGTAGAGGAACGCTGTTTTTCTGGAGGGCACCACTGAAGGCAAGACATCGCAGAGCAGTTCATACAAGTCTCACAGAATGATGGTTGAAGCCTGTATCACTAGTCTTACAATATCGTAGCAGCAATACACACGATACTAAGTTGAAATGATAGATCCCAATCCTCAGTCTGTCCAATTTATATGGCGCAGATTCAGTTTCCACATGAGCCAATCAGAATGTGATCTGGCTAGCACCTGTGTCACGTATGCAATTCAGTAGATCATAAACATCCTTTGTTATTCAAATAACAGCACACATGATAAATTCCAATTCTCCAAACAAAGTTGTAAACACCCTTTGTTATGTAAATCACAAGCACACTTGGTAGATTCCAACTGTCGTTCCAGAGTTGAAAACAAGTATCACCTGTCAATCACTTTCATGACAGTTATCACACGGCAATGCACACCGTTTCTTCCCATGATTCCATGCACACTTCTATTTGCAGGGTTTGAAGTAATAGGACAAAAACATAAAATAAAGGATGCTGACACAGTATTGCAATTGCCAACCGGAATTAATGTATCAACATATGGTGACTAATCAAGGTCAACAAAGCAAGAATTCAAGTAAATCGTATGTTGGTTATTAACTTGAATCTGAACCTGAATGTAAAATGTGGGGTGAGGCCTTTGTGGGACTACACCACATTCAGGAGCTGGGAGCCTGTCTTCAATACAGGTCTAATAATATACATCTCTGGTAGCGTGATTATCCCCTTCAGCTCGTCCGCTGCCACGGGGTAGGGATCATTTGGTGAAAGTATATCACCACAACTGAGGCAGTGCAGGGAAGGAAATATACCGGTAACGAATACAACAAAGCAAAACGACACGACATGTGGTTTCCTTCACTTTAATTACTTTAATAACTAGCAAGGGGATATACAGTAAACAAATATAACTTAGGACCTGATCGATGTTGCAGGGAATCACTCTCCGGTGAACAGCAATGTACAATGTTGCCTCCCTTCGTATCAGGCACACGGTTGAAGCAGCTGCACTACAATTTAAACTTGTGCCCTGTGTCTAGGGAGTATCGGCAACTGCACTGCTATCTGATGCTACTAGTAGCACTGGTACAACGGGAGCATTTCGGGCAGTGATCAACAGCAATTACTGCACAGCACATCTCCAT